TCACACTAGAAGCAGCTTGCAGTTTCTTAAGTTGCTCGTGACACAAAAATAAATAAATAAATAAAAGAAAATCTGGGCTGGAGAGAAGGACTAGGAATAGATTTGTGTATGAATAATCTGTGAAATCAAGTCTGGCTCTGAATATACATTCTTGGGCTGAGCATGTGCTCAAAGGCATCCTTGTTTTTAATTCTACATGAAGAAAAGCATGACAGCGTCAAAAGTTCAAATTATATACTTGTTGGTACCTTGAGGTTTTATATATCATGTCAATCTTACTCTATTGTAATTTACTCTACGGGGTTAGCTATTTCCTACCAACATTCCCAGTGCATAAAATCAGTGAAATAATAGTACATGAATGAAATAATCAGGATGTGAGCAGGCGAAAAAGAGGACTATAATCCCATTCTACTCTCGGTCTACTTTCAAGTTATGAATCATTCATTAATCAGTCACTCCACCAAGGTCATTCACAATTTTTGGACCTTGAGGACCACACGTGATGCTAGCTCATGGATTACTGAGGAGTAGAAAGCTCCCCTTCAATCTTCATGCAGATCTCAGTGAGGATTTCTAAGGGAGGGGACATGGGAATTTTAAGGCCTTAATGGGGTGTATATGCCTTCCTTTTAAAGAAATGAAAGATGCTTCCAGAAGACATCTCCTTGTGCTACCAATCAAAAGGAATATGTAATCATTCCCACTTTCCTCTTTAACAGATTCTTTTCTGCCAAGGAAACAAAATACAAAAGAAGTGAGGAGGAAAAAAAGACAGCAGGCTGTTATTAACTGAAGGTGTGAATGTCTGAACCCTATGTGTAATTCTGTGAACATATACTATTTCTTTATTACGGATATTATCAAGCCTGATTTGATTTGGGGGGTAGGTATTCCTTTGCTGTGTTATCCAGAAATTCTTCCGATTTAACATTGATTATATGTTAAAAAGTCAGAAAGGAAAGTTTCCTGTGAATCTATGTAATGGGCCAGGAGAATGATGCAATGGGGAAGGAATTATTTTACTGAAGTACATATGATGTATACTTTATCTATAGTCTCACAAAGACAGTCAGCAAAGAATAGCTCTGATTTTTTTTCATGTCAGGAGTGACTTGAGAAACTGCAAGTTGCTTCTGGTGTGAGAGAATTGGCACGTTGCCCATGGGACATCCAGATGTTTGAAGTTTTACCATCCTGTGGGAGGCTTCTTTCATGTCCCTATATGGGAAGCTAGAGCTAGACAGGAGCTCACCCCACGCCCTGGATTTGATCCGCCAACCTGTTGCCAGCAGTCCTGCTGGCACAAGAGTGTAACCCATTGCACCACCAGGGGCTCTAATAGCTCTGATGCAAACACCGAGGTTGTTCTCTAAAGCCATACCACCTGTAGAACATCTCCTATGTGGTTCTCAACCTGTGGGTTCCCAGATGTTTTGGCCTTCAACTCCCAGAAATCCTAACAGCCGGTAAACTGGCTAGGATTTCTGGAAGTTGTAGGCCAAAACACCTCGGGACCCACAGGTTGAGAACCACTGTCCTATGTGTATCAGTAGCTTCTCCCAGGAATGAAATAACTTCACAGGGTATGCATTAGCGCCCGCTATCCATGGGAATCTCTCAGGGCCTTTAGTGGCAGTGATTCTCTGCTGGAGGTAACTGCTGCATCAAAAGCAAGTGAGTGTTGTAGCATCTCTAAAAGTACGACTGGGGAAAATGAAACAATTAAGGCATATGTCTCTTCACTCCCCTGCTCCAGCTCTCAAATTTATTTCAGGCAAAAATGTGCACCCAAAAAAGTCAACTTCAATGTCTTCAGCAGAACTGTCCCCATCATCATTAACTCTAGCCTCAGGAAATACCAACTGAAAGACATGTGGGGTTGCAATTCTCAATCGAAAGACGAGTTAAAGTGTCCTACTTTGGATGCTGCCCCCTCCCCCCGATGGCGCAGGGGGTTAAATTGGTGGTTCAAATCCGGGGAGCAGGGTGAGCTCCCGCTGTTAACCCCAGCGTCTGCCAACACAGCAGTTCAAAAACATGTAAATGTTTGTAGATCAATAGGTACCACTCCAGCAGGAAGGTAACAGCATTCCATGCAGTCATGCCAGCCACATGACCTAGGAGGTGTCTATGGACAAGGCCAGCTCTTTGGCTTAGAAATGGAGATGAGCATCACCCCCAGAGTCTGACATGACTAGACTTAATGTCAAGGGGAAACCTTTACCTTTACCTTGGTTGCTCAAAGTGCACCCTACCTTTACCTTTACCTTGGTGGCTCAAAGTGCACCACCACACAAGGCAAGAAGCTCTGCCTGTTTAACTAGGGCCCCTTCCACACAGATGAATAAAATCCTACATTATCTCTTTCTTCTTTAACAGATTCTTCTCTTGCCAAGAAAACAAAATGTTATTAATTGAAGGTGTGAATGTCTGCCTTGATATTCTGGGTCCTAGGAGGCAAAAAAATATTGTTGCGACACACACTACTTCCTCTGCGTCTCAGCTACTGCCTAGTTTGGGGTGAAAACGCAAATATAGGGAAGAAGCTCTCAATTGTAGGGCCTTAGGACACTAGGATTCGGGTTAATTCATGGCCGCCTTCTACACCAAAACCATAACACCATTCAGTATCCACATTTTTCCTTATCCACGCTCCAAAAAAAAAAAAAAAAAAACCCTCCTCCAGAGGTCTTTATAGGCCTCCCTATATCTATGCTTTAGAATTAATACAATCTGAGACCACTTTGCCGGGATCAACACTATGGAACCCTGGAAGTAATAGTTTGGTGAGGCACCAGCACCATTTGGAAGAAAAAGTGAAAGATCTTGTAAAACTACAACTCACAAGATTCCATAGTGTTGAGACATGGCAGTAAAATTATGTCAAATTATATTAATTATAGATGCATCTGAGGTAATAATGACAGCTCTATACAAGGTGCAGTAAAAGCTTCAAAAGCAAATTAGCACAGATCTTTAGCCTTCTCAGTAAATGGATATAATGAGTATAGGCTGTGTATTGCTGAAGGCTTTCATGGCCGAAATCACTGGGTTGCTGTGGGTTTTCTGGGCTGTATGGCTATGTTCCAGAAGCATTCTCTCCTGACGTTTTGCCTGCATCTATGGCAGGCATCCTCAGAGGTTGTGAAGGAGAATGCTGGCGCTCGTGACAGCATCTGATATCTAGAGGTTTAATTCAAAAAGGTCACAACCTTTGAGGGTGTTTGCCATAGATGTAGGCGAAATGTCAGGAGAGAATGCTTCTGGAACATGACCATACAGACTGGAAAGTTCACACAACCCAACATAGGCTGTCCTAATGCATATATAATTTGGATACATAGAACGATAGAATCATCGGATAGAATGATCGAAATAGATAGAATAGGCGAAACATCAGGAGAGAATGCTTCTGGAACATGACCATACAGCCCGGAAAGCTCACAGCAACCCAATATAGGCTGTCCTAATGCATATATAATTTGGATACACAGAATGATAGAATCATCGGATAGAATGATAGAATCAGATAGAATAGGCGAAACATCAGGAGAGAATGCTTCCGGAACATGACCATACAGCCTCGACAGCTCACAGCAACCCAATATAGGCTGTCCTAATGCATATATAATTTGGATACATAGAATCATAGAGTTGGAAGAGATCTCATGGACCATCCAGTCCAACCCCCTGCCAAGAAGCAGGAAAATTGCATTGAAAGCACCCCCGACAGATGGCCATCCAGCCTCTGTTTAAAAGCTTCCAAAGAAGGAGCCTCCACCACACTCTGGGGCAGAGAGTTCCACTGCTGAACGGCTCTCACAGTCAGGAAGTTCATACATATGACTAAAGAGATTTTTTTCCCTTTCTGCTGGAAAACTGCAGACTCTCTAAACCAGTGTTTCTCAACCTGGGGGTCGGGACCCGAGTGGGTAGCGAAGGGTGTCAGAGGGATCACCAAAGACCATCAGAAAACACAGTATTTTCTGATGGTCATGGGGATTCCATATAGGAAGTTTGAGCCAACTTTATCGTTGGTGGAGTTCAGAATGTTCTTTGATTGTAATGAACCATAAATCCCAGCAACTACAACTCCCAAAAGTCAAGGTCTATTTTCCCCAGGTTCCACCAGTGTTCACATTTGTGCATTTTGAGTATTTGTGCCAAGTTTGGTCCAGATTCATTATTGTTTGAGTCCACAGTGCTCTCTGGATGTAGGTGAACTACAACTCCCAAACTCAAGGTCAATACACACCAAACCCTTCCAGTGTTTTCCGTTGGTCATGGCAGTTCTGTGTGGCAAATTAGGTTCAAATCCATCGCTGGTGGAGTTCAGAATGCTCTTTGATTACAGGTGAACTATAAATCTCAGCAACTACAACTCCCAAATTACAAAATTAATCCTCCCCCGACCCCAAGTTAGCATTTACATGTGGTTGCATTGGGTATTTGTGCCCAGTTTGCTCCAGTGAATGACAATACATCCTGCATATCTGATATTTACATTATGATTTAGAACAGTAGTAAAATGACTGTTATGAAGTAGAAACAAAAACAATGTTATGGTTGGGGGTCACCACAACAGGAGGGACTGTATTCAGGGGTCACGGCATTAGGAAGATTGAGAGCCACTGCTCTAAACAAAGTCTGCAAGAGCCCCTTGAGAACAAGTTGGCCATGCCACTCCCACCGCAGCCCCTTTAAATCAGCAAACTTTCCCCTCGGCTCCTCTCAGTCTGCCAGGATTGGTTTAGAAGGGCTGCCCACAGAGAGCGGCCGCTTCGGAAGCTCCCTATTGATTAGCAGCGAGGTGTCCATCAAAGGGACTCCGAATTCCCATTGGCTCTCGCGGGCTTAAGACCGCCTACTCGGAATCATAGCCCCGCCCACTTCCAATTCTCCCTGGTTGAGGGGTGATATCGCAACTGAGAACACAGGCGAGTGGGCTAAAACAAAAGGGGGGGGGGTTGGGTTCTGGCCAATTTTGGCGAGCTTACCGATGCGCTGCCCGACAGGACTGCTGAAAGGGTTGCCCAATAAGAAGTCCATCGCGCCGCCGACGCTGCTGCCACAGCTTCGGCTGAGAGGTCAGCTGACGCGGGGGCGAGAGGGCGTCACGTGGACTCCTCGGGACCGAGCGGGGGGCGTGGCTTCGGCTCTTAACCCCGCCCCTCCTACATAGTGGCCCCGCCCGTGGCGTCAGCGCTCGCCACGCCCCCTTCCAAGCTGGGCTTAAAGGGCCAGGCTGGTGTTCCCGGGGGAAACGGGAATGGCATGTTCCTCGGAAGTTGCTTCACCGTTAGGGTGATCGAGGCCCACCCCAGAAGGTGTTTTATGACGGCAGCAATGGATGACCACTCTGGCGTCATCAAGGCCAGTGCTAGCTGCTCTGGGGGGTGGTGCTCATCTCCATTTCTAAGCCGAAGAGCCGGCGTTGTCTGTAGACACCTCCTTGGTCATGTGGCCAGCATGACTGCATGTTGTGCCATTACCTTCCCACAGAAGCGTTACCTATTGATTTATTCACATTTGCATTTATTTAAACTGCTAGGTTGGCAGAAGCTGGGCCTAACCATGGGAGCTCGCCTGCTCCCCAGAATTTGAACCACTAACATTTCAGTCAGCCTAGTGGGCTCTGTTGTTGTTCAGTCGTCTCCGACTCTTCGTGACCTCATGGACTAGCCCACGCCAGAGCTCCCTGTCGGCCATCACCACCCCCAGCTCCTTCAAGGTCAGTCCAGTCACTTCAAGGGTGCCATCCATCCATCTTGCCCTTGGTCGGCCCCTCTTCCTTTTACCTTCCACCTTCCCCAGCATAATTGTCTTCTCCAAGCTTCGACTGGGAAAATTCTCAATGTGTCAGTGCCTCTCTATGCTTGAAGTGTCCTACAACTGGGACATTTCTCAATGTGATAAGGTGGACAGTTATCCAAACTGGATTATTTTGAAAAAAGCCCAATATGTTTCAACCTCCCCCATCCCCTTATATATTCCAGCTGAAACACGTTGGGATGGATGAATAGCTGGAGATAGACACACATATAAGAAAATCACATCACTGTCAACTGAGGATTCCTCTCAGACAGTCCCACCACTGTGGTCAAATGTGGGAGTCTTTACACTTTATCCACCAAATATGAAGTCTTCCAGTGTTTGTTGGAAACAGTGTGATCCCTCCCTCTGCCAACACATAAGGACTTCTGCCTGTCCCCAACTGTGAGATCAGTCTAAATGCCCTCAGAGATCCTGAGGATTAATGCTACTTTTATCCCCGACAGGACGCCATTCTTCCACCTTCAGTGCTGCCGCCACAAACAATTTCTCTGAAACCCAGCTCTCAAAGTTTATTTCAAAGGCCAAAACTTTATTGACAGACCTTTAACATAAAACAGCAGATTATTTAGATAAAATGTCTGAAACCCCCTCTCCTTCTTAAAATGAACCAGATTCTTACTAATCACTCAACACATCCACCTTAGTCTCCCAAAGTCTTCTTGGACACATTTCTCTATATACTTTTCTCAAACACCAGGCACAAGCTAAGCTCTTCACACTACTCCAACAGGAAAAAATACTCCTTCCCAAACCTTCCACAAATCAACATTCACTTTAACATTCCCAGTCTTCTCTCTCAATAGTGACATACCTCATAATAAATCAAACAACAATCTTATATACAGACCCATGTCACCACTGGAGGTTATCTAATTCAGGATCTTGAAATACTGCATTTTGCAGCATCACTCAACTAAGAAATAGCACACAAGGTTATTTTGTCATACTTTGCCAGATATGGACCCAAGTTTCCAGGGAAAAAAACAAGGACTCTGACTATGATGCCTTTTGAATCTTGATGTGGCCCACTTTTTGCTGTCTCTGCTATGAGTGGCTACTGATTAAAACCCTAAAGTCTTATGTGAGAATTACACACAAATCCAATTACAATTAATGAGTTTACACAGCAACTGTTCCTGGAGCTCACACCACTTAGCTATAATCTAAAGACAGTAATGAAATGAATGAAACAGATGGTTATGGACTAATAAAAGTACATTTCTACTGAGGAAATAAAACAGAAACTATGTAGGTGGACAAAAAAGGATAGGGATGTTGTCATAATGAATGGCGGAGTAACCGATCTCTGTTCAAATTTTGTAGCTTAATTTTTTTTTCACAGAATGGAAACCTGAAACAATTCATGATGCAAGTTATTTGTTTTTTTTTAAAAAAAGTTTATATACATTAGTGAAACATTTATACAACATGATTTGGACTATGTGGGAAAGAAATAACCAGTATATTAAAAAAAACAGTTCAAAGCTTTCTGGTAACAGATGACAGATTATATAAATGTATACACATTTTAAATAAAAGTACATGAATACATTTCTTTGTCTTTAAAAAACCCTTCAAGTCTGCCATGATACAGATGACAAAACTGAAGTAGAACTCCTATTATCATTTAATCAGACATAGATCTTGGAATCTAAGCCAAGTATCAGCTCAAGCCACACCATGCAAACTGAAGACTGAAGGAGGTATCTCTCTCTCTCTGAGTTCTTATTTATTTAGCATGTTTGGGGAAAGGAGGAATGAAGCCAGATCCCTAGCTATATACCTGCATTTGGATGACACACTAAAACTGAACATGGAGCTATGTGGTTTGTTTATCTGTTCCTTCTGCAAGAAGGAGCATTTGAACAGTATGCACCAGATTAGTGCTCAGGTCCAACAAATCAGGGTTTCCATAGGTCTCTGGTTTTTCATGTTGCATCAACCTATGCATTATATCCCCTCAAGAAATAAACGATTACATCTGGTGATGGTTCTTCCCCAACTGACAGAAGGTTCTATAATGGAAGCTTCTGTTAGCAGAAAGATGAATGGGAAGCATTTGCTCATTATACCTCCCTCCTACAATTTGTACACTTCCTATTGTATTTTGAAGGGTCTCCAGACCTCTGGAAAAAATTGTGGAGAACAAAGTATGGGAAGCCCTTGGCCGTATTCATCCAACAGCAGACAGACTCTGCTGGATACAACAAAAACTTTGAGAAAATTGTGCTGATCAAAAAAATCACTCGCATTTTTCTTGACTTCTCAAACACTGCATGAGACCCTGTTTTGACAAATAATATCTAATTTCCTTTGTAAATGCCAAGGTATTAGGGTCCCATACATGGATTCATTTACAGAATGGCACCTATTATAGCAAGTCCATTCTCCATGAGTATAACTAGGGGAAGTCAATATAAATAACTTTTATATACGTAAATCTTACTTTGACTCAATTTGATTTAAAACTATTGAAGGTAAGAAACACATAAAATCTCAAGTATCTTAAAAAAATTGCCTAAAATTTAGCAAGAATTATCCCTCTTTCTGCCACACTGGCCTCTAAAATGCAAGGGGAAATGTAATACAGAGTATAAATTTTCCATTCATTTCAAATCAGGGCTTCAATTACAGGGTAGCCTGTAATTATGAATTTTATAGTGACAGTCTTAAGTAATGGCTTTAATAGCCTATGGGGGTGGGGGAGCTGGTTTGGTAAAAATGCAGCAGGACTAGTGAATTTCAAAAGGGTGCTCTTCCTTTTCTCCCTTAATTTCATTTGTTAACTTATAATGACATTAAAGCAGGTTGTATTCCAAATTTCACAGTCCATAGAGTAGTACCAGTCTATGGAAAAGCTGTTTCTCTATTAACATTAATCACACCTGCCTCTGTGTATGAATGGGAGATTTAATCCTATGACTGTGAGATTTAATAAAGAAGATTCCTGAAGTCAACACAGGCATGACAGTGGAGTGGAAAATGAACAGCATCCTTTCCCAGCATCACTTTTAACAACACGCAATTTTACTGTTAAATCCCCAAATAACTGACTTCTCCCAGAGGAGTAATACTTCAGTTATATTTTACAAAATGAATGGTGCCGTGTCTATGACATTTGCTCTTCCCTAGTCTTGATTTTTTCAGGTAATACCAATTCCACTGTTTTATTTTTCTTCCACATTAAGGATGATGCATCAAACTTCTTCCCAACTCTATTTCTCAGAAATTAAGTTCAAAAATATTTCACAAAATCAAGTTCCAGTTCAATTTTATGGTCCAAGTTTTCTGTTTCTTAAAACCTTTCATGTTGACTCCTTGAAGAATATGAGTTTTAAGCATAGCAGTCACATGGTATCTGGTCAACTCCCATGGTCTTTTGCCTGTCAGAGTCCAGGCATTATGTAGGCAATATTATCCAAAGTACTTGACTGGAAAGAGAGGGAAAACATAATCAATCTGGAAATGTTACAAAACAAATATGCCTTCTAAACGAAAGAGGAAGCACACAAGGAAAGACTCAACATCAACTGATGACAAAACAACAAAAGCCAGAGAGGTTTTTCACAAATTGCTTACTACTGCTGAGAGGTACAAACACCTTTCAGCCCTCTTTCAGAAGCACAGGGCTGTCTTTCATTTGGTCTAGGTCAGTGGTTCTCAACCTGTGGGTCCCCAGGTGTTTTGGCCTACAACTCCTAGGAATCCCAGCCAGTTTACCAAGCTGTTAGGATTTCTGGGAGTTGAAGGGCAAAATATCTGGGCACCCATAGGCTGAGAACCACTGGTCTAGGTTTTCATAGCTGTTATTAAGCTAATAGAAATAGGTTCTAAGTTAGCACATTTTGACTCAGAAGTCATCTTGCCAAAATTTAGTTTCCCCTGGCAATCCACCCCAAATTTATGGTAACTAATAACACATCCTTTCCTTTCAATGGAGTCCTACAAATGTCTACTTTTCGTGTAGTTGTGTTGGATGCTTCAGCGCATCATTTCCCCCACTATAAGGTACAGAGGAAGGTAAAGCTCCTTGCCAGTTGTGAGTTTTCTGCTTTTTAGTAAACAGCCAAGATATTCTAATGCTACCCCTATTTGTTTCTGTCTTTTTGTTATAGTGCTGTGTGTTGCCTCAAAGCAGCCTTGAAAAGGCAGGGCATAAATATTTTAAATAAAATCTCAGAGACAAAGCAATATATGCAAGAAGTCTTTATGCGGCACAGCCACCTGCTGGTAAAAAAGTAAACAGCAGGTTGCATGAGGCATATTATCTTTCTGTAAATGTCTCAAAGAGAACAAGTCTTGGACAAATGAAGGGGTTTTTCTATATGGCATAGTGCTAAGTAAGACTGAGAAGCCTAAATTCAAATCTTCACTGAGCTACAAATACACATTGTAACACTTTAGAAGACTTACTGTATCTCAGTTTAGCCTATCTCCTATTGTTAGGCATGGCTATAAAAACGAATTAAGAACCATGGACACTGCATTTAGCTCTTGAAGGTAAGGTTGGATTCTAAACACAAGAATATTTTAAAATATGTATTATGCTTTCACAATACTTCCCATAGCCCTCTTTCAGTAACAGAACCACAATATATCTCCTATATAGAAATAAATATAATCTTGCTTTAGACAGACCATTATGTTACAATTTAGTGATCTTTCAAGAAATACCAAACAACTCCTATTTGATGTGGGATTCTAATGTAGGAAGAAAACAAGAGGTCTCTAAAAAAGCAACAAATCCAACTGAGTTAGTGGATAATAAAACAAGGGACTGCTTTAGAAAGGCCACTTTCCTAGTGTTTATGCATGAATTTTCATGTACTGAAGTTTTGGACTGGGAGAGTTCCTTGCACTGAAAGAATCATGCTTAAAAATCTAGAAGAATTCTTAATATTTGCATTTAGTGGAAAAATTATATAGTCCATTTTGAAGCATATTATCTAGGAAGAGCAACTTCTACATATTCCATCGTACAGTCGCTTTACCAATGAATGTAATATCTAGGGAGAGGTCAATGGGATACAGCATGTTTCATACATGTCCCATATATAATTTACAGTGCTTTATCTTCATCCACAAAGCACAGAAAGGCAAATACAGATGACATCTGAAGTCTGTTCTGCATATGAAATCCAAATGAATGCATCGATAGAGAAGCAGACCGACTCAATGGAAGAGCCTGGCATCTATATGGTTCACTTCTACCTCAATTTTCCTGCATCTCAATGTTTCACCAGATTTCCTTTCTACAAGCATACTGCATGAATCATGAGCAAAGAGGGAACTGCTGTGTGGTACAGCATTGAAAGCCTGCTGGGAAGTATCACATAACATGTTACAAAACCATGCCTAGCATTGGGAAAGTGGCAATAGTGGAAGTTGTAGACGATAGTAACAGAATTTGACATTCAATAATAATAATAATAGTAAGAGATACCTACCAAAACATGTTTGGGGCAACCATTAAGTTCTGGTAGCTGTGCTGTTAGGCAAGCTAGAGGGCCTAGAGCACAGAGAATTGAATCCAGGAGCACAGATAAGCTGCCTGAAACAGCCACCATCCCCTAAGAAAAGAAAGAGCACAAAACATGAGTTAAAGCCTTAATGCAGATCAATTATCCTTTGTTTTAAAGAGAACACATGTTCTCTCATAAGATTCCTTAGATCTGCTTAGTAAACACCTCTTCAACAGGTGTTTGGGAGAAATTGTTCATACAAATATAGGGACTAAAATATGCTTCCCCCACCCCTCATTCTGCCAAAAATACAACAATTGCCACTACAAATCTCAGTCTTATGTAGAAAGCACAATAAAATGTGAGTGGCATAGATTGGGAAACTAATTTTCGTAAGAATCCACCATACTATCTCTCTTTAGCTGTTAGCTATGCTTATATACTTCACATGCTGAAAGCTTATCCTTTTGAAATAGAGGTCCTTCCACAGTCACTTCTCTTGAGAAAATGTGCATCATGTTCTGTTCAAACTGTATGTACCATTACCACTTATATTAGGGATAGGGCCCACACAGTTTTCTAGATATGCTTGGATTACAACCCTGATTGGCTCCAATCAGAATCCAATGATGAAAAATTATGGCCATCTACAGGAAAAGAAAAAATATTTTCCCATTCCTGCCATTTGCCTTTAGGACAGTGGTTCTCAACCTGGGGTCCCCAGATGTTTTTGGCCTTCAACTCCCAGAAATCCTAACAGCTGGTAAACTACCCGGGTTTCTGGGAGTTGTAGGTCAAAAATATCACTCACCAGTAATTTTTAAAATATATATTATGTAATATTTTGAAAATATTAAACAACACTTTAGATAAGTTTATTCTGGATGACAGAAGAATACCGTTAATCATTTAGAATATATTTGTTAAAGTGGCCAACACAACAGAAGTTATGTTTTGTTCGCCACCCTTGTAAGTATTTATATACAGAAGTATGGCTGCACGTGTACATGTATTACATGAAACTATTATCTTATACTGAACTATTAAGTAACACTCCTCCCCTATATACTCTGTATCTTTCTGGAATCCAGAACAAACTTTTAATAAGCACTGGTTAATTTTAAATCACTTTCAACAGAAAGGAAGAAACCATGAAAATAAACAAAATCTAGCTCCCAGTATAAAAAAAACCCCTCTAAAATCATAACAGTAAATAAAGAACACTCAAACACAGGGAAATTCCAGACAAGAAACAATCAGGGCCAGCTATTCACCTCCCAACAAAGGATTCCTCCAAGTAGTAAGAAGCCAGACCTTGAAACTGCTAGGCCATTAAATGCTAATCAAAGTGGCCAAAATTCACACCTGTCTCAAACAGACAAGAATTCTTTCTCCCACCCTAGACATTCCACAGATATATAAACCCCATTTTCCTAGTTTCCAACAGACCTCACAACCTCTGAGGATGCCTGCCATAGATGCAGGCGAAATGTCAGGAGAGAATGCTTTTGGAACATGGCCATACAGCCCGGAGAACTCACAACAACTCAGTGATCCCAGCTATGAAAGCCTTCGACAATACATTAAATGATTACATGTTCCAGTCTTGCCAGATTACCAATTTCAAGACCTCATTTCAGAACTTCAAAATTCTCAGGTAGTGTTCTCAACATTTGGATGCAGAAAAGTAGAATCACAACACCTAGCAAATAAAATATTTCCTACTCTGTTGCAGGGAATCATTCCCTCTCATATTTATGCAACTATGACAAGCCATGTAAGAACACGAGAGAAGCCCGGGTAGATCAGATCAAAGGTCTATCCAGTTCAGCAATTTACTGCCACAACAGCCAACCAGATGGCAATGGAAAGCATAATCCTACCCATGTTTTCCAGCAACTGGTAAACAGAGATACTATCTCAGAAATCTAAGGTTCCACATAACGAGCAACTATTAATAATGGCTAAAAGTGCACCTCCAGTTTTAGAGAGCATTCCCTTTCATGATTTCTATGCCAAAAGATAGTTATCTTTAAGAAATTAAAAACAAAAATTAAAATGGAAAAAATAATTCAAACATCTGAAGACATACACCATGGATGTTTGCTATTCAGACACCAAAACAAGCAAATGAGTGTAAAATCAATTTGGGCGAATTACTCTTTCATGCCACTTTACCAAAAGTGACTGTACTCTTAATGGAGGCATCATTTCTAGGCAAACCATTTGATTAGTTGCCAAAAAACCTATTTAAGCATTTTTAATCGAGTTACATTAGCAGTAATGGAGGGATTGTCTTTTTGTTCAATAAAGGCAGCCAGCTCAGAAAAATGCCATAAAAGATGCAGCTCGTTTGCACAATACTGTACAATAATACTTTCCATGTTACTTACTTATAATAGCAGATGCTAGAGAGGTAAAAATATTGTCAATAATGGACATGCAGGTGGAGCACTTTTAATTAACCCATTCTCACTTATCATCTGATTTTTTGCACAATAAAGCAGCTACATCATGAGTAAATGACTACATTCAAGAGGAAGGGCTTTCGCACCCACCTCAGTCTCCTGTAATCGGTGTCCAATAAGACTCAGGGATTCTCCTAGTAATTGCAGATGCGCAGCTACATCAATGGGTTCAATATCAGGAACTTTAACTGGTGAGGAAGACAACATTAGGGTACTAGATGGAGACTTCTTATGAGGTGAGAGTCCACCTGTAAGAGAAGCTGATAACAGAGAGTAGTTTTATGTTTACATTAAGAAGCACTTTACATTTGTTTACGACTCAAAAATCTGAATATCTACAATTTTCAAATGCATCAGTGACAAAAATTCTCCCCCAGCTCAAATTGTATGTCTGTGTTTTTGTCACTCTTTTAACATAATTTCTTTGAGTCCCCTTTGGGAGAGATAAAGTGAGGTATAAATAAATAAAGTAATAATAATAATGCTTCATTCATACCCAACACTTTCTTTATCTGTGCATATTTCACATTCATAATGTTCTATATTAAAGGCACAATGCACATGGCAGGTTATTTATTACTTAAGGACACATCAGTGAGGCAATGAGTTACAAAAATTTGTCAGCACTCTTGAAAATTCTATCTTTGAACTTTTCCTTGAAAGCCAATGTCATAAGGTTCTGGTTTTGGCTGTGAGAAACAAACCTACTGTACTTTCAATAACGGACTTGATAGTTTTAGCTTGGAGCACTTAATATTTGGGGAATAGTTTCAGTACTTAGAATTTGAACAATTAAGTTTTTGAGAAGGAACATCTTTGTCAGTTTCAATGGGCTTTTAATAATAGTGTAATGCTACAAATTTAAAATTAAGAAGTTGCAGTGTTGATCTGACATTACAATAAGATACAAAAATGATCTTGCCGAGGCTGGTAAAAATTCTGAACATTGATGTATGAAGAGAAAACATACAAATTACTTGCGTATGGAGATTACCTTTCGGTTTGGGGGCACCCTCAGATGAGGTTGCTTTCCTCTTCACTGTTGTAGCCTCTGCTTTATTCTGCTTATGTTGCAAATACTGGGCTTTCTGTTTCCAAACCTGCAAACAGACAAACAAAAATAAAGGGGGAAAAATCTCATTGTTAGCAGTCCAACTATTCTGATGGGGCAACTACATAGCAAAGTATCAGCCAAATACTTTTGTTATGGTTGGATGCCAATGTTTCAGAATCACTAGCAAGGGGTAATTCTGCACAAATAAAAAATGAACAGTGAAGAAATGGCAGAAATATGATAAAATCACAGGACCAAACCAAGTTATTTACCCCAGATATTTACCAGCTTATCTTTCTCTGGAAGCTGTTTCCAAACTTCTGCCAACTTTTTGCTCAGATCACCAAAATCTAGCAGAGAAGTAAAGAGTTCAGAGTAATAAAAGGGAAACAGCAAAAACAGATTTTCAGGCTTAGATGAGGAATCTGATGACTATTTAGTTGATAGCCTGAACGATTATAGGACTTTTTACTGACATAGCAGTAAAAACAACTCAATGCTTGTAAAAGTTACGAATAATGACAAAGCAAAAACATCCAGTGATGCACAGATGGAGCTTCTTTCAGTCTATTTCAAATAATATCGACAAAATTGGGACCTTACACTGCTTACTGAAGATTTTTCATGAAATTGTATTAATGACAACAGAGTTATCAAAATACTTAAGATACTTTTCCAACAGAGGGAAACCCCAATGACTTAAGTTATCTGATTAAAAACTCCAATACTCCAATACTAACAGCCTTATTTAAATAAATGAAGCCATAGGTAAAGTGGTACAGAGAGAAGTATTCAGTTATTTGGGTTCCAGAAATGTACGAGCTCCTGAACTGGGTTTAGAAGCAACAGGGCAGCTAGTACAGTTCCCTCTGAATCGGTGTTATGTGATCCCATTTGAGGAGCCCTGTAAACATCTTGGCACTAGGTAAAGCTTCCAGGGTGTCTTAAAGGATAGTCCCTTGTACAAAGAATTAGTGTAATATAATGGAACAATGAACCATAGGGGCCATATCACCCTTATCTGGGAATAGCTGTCACTATCAAATCACCAAAGGTGACACAAAATATTAATGCTGTTATGTTTGTTACCACTAAAAATGTTAACAGTGTCTGGCTTACTATTCCAGAACATTGTTTTTAACTAATATCTAATAGCACTAAACCAAAACCAGGTCATCCTTTCCCCCCAACCTTCAGACAGTAGTCCTATAAAATGGCATAGCTACGGAGTGGGGAATAAGGTGATTATTTCTTTTCATCCTCCTGTCCCAAGTATTCTGCCAACCAAATTACTATGATTGCAGGAATCCCAAACTTGGTTGAACATTTAAAAATACAGTTTTAAGCATCGGAAAAAGAAAAAGCAGCAGGCAAAGTTGTTAAGGGTATGATAACACAACTAATAGAAAAGTTCTAGCTGTTAACACTTTTCATTGTTTCACTTTGTAATGCTAAATTTTTGAAAAAGAAAAATTTCACCGGGGGGGGGGGGGGGGGGGGGGCAGAATTGTTGTTTGTGAAGCAATGCCCTCACTTCCTCTCCCCACTCCATGGTAGTTATATTCCCTAGGCCTATGCACACTTACCTGGGAGTGTATCCTACCAAAGTGAAGAGGGTCTATTTCTGAACATGAACATGTAGTAACTGTTGAATCTATCTTCATTCACTTCATACAAATGTCCTTTATAAAAACCTTGCCTAAATGCATCCTACTTTTACATTCATGTTTTCTGAACAGACCACCTATTTTACAGTTTCTCCCAAGCGTATCATCTGAAGAGACATTTATTGCCCAGATCAGATCAGTGCTCCAGAATCCCACCTGGAACACATAGGGTTACACTATGCATAACTACACCTCTTTCTTTGTGAAGTGTTCCGAGTACTGCAATTACTGCTGTGTTTTATTGGGGGGGGGGGGGGGTACATTAAAAGAATACTCAAAAACGGCAGTTACGATAAAATGTAAGAAACTATACATAGGGTCTCTGGATAAATAGAATATGTCACTCCTGAAATAAATAGTTTCTCGCTTTCTGCTTGAAAGGAGAGCTGGAAAACCCATTATCCCTCACCAATGATTCAGTTCAATGACAGGCTCTATTCAATAATATCTGGATGGTCACAGCTGCACACCTCACCTTCAAAGCTTTTTAGTGGTGGTGCCCCATTTGGGGCTTCTCTGGCCTTTTATTTTCTCAAACTGTTTAGGTAAAAGTCTGTTCCTGGTTACAAGTTTGCTGTTTACTGTTTGGTCTTAATGTTTTTATTACATCGTTATCATTTTCAATTGTGTATGTATGTATGTGTGTGTGGTTTTTTTTGGGGGGGGGGGGTGGTTGTACAATGTTCCCAGATTCTTCAAATTTAACTGCGAGCAAGCGAACATTCTTTCTGTCTTGTGGTCAGGGATATTAAGGAATAGCTGTTGCTCAGCACTTCAATTAATCAGTGGGTTTGAGAGAGCCTTTTACACCTAGGGGAATATCCCAAGAGTTCAGATGAAGAAAAATGAAAAATACAAGAAATACAAATAAACAAATCGACCCCTTATATCCTGCTATTTTACCTATTCCTGGATGCTCAGCCACAATGTTCACACGATATTCCTTACAGAACACTTGGTAGGCAGACATGTTTTTCTTCTTTGGCTAAAAGAAAATGGGAGGGGGAGGGAATATTTTATAGTGTATATCTGTATCAACACATTTCTGGTGCCAGTAGAAATTTCTGAAGAAAAGGTGTATGCGTATCTCTTTCACAAGTAAGCAGGTTTCTTTCAAATGTCTGCCATCTGATATGCATTAGCTAAATACTTACAAAAACACTGGCATAAATTAGAAGGATAATGTTATGCCTAATTTGTTTTGACACTGATTTCTGGAGAAAAAACTGAGCACTTCTCAAAGACATGCAATACTTTTTTTGCCTGCCAGTAGGAAGAAAATTATTTAGGGGTATATGTGTGCGCATGTGGGTTTTTTCATAACTAATAATAAAAAACAGCACCTGCATCAACTTTTGCATGCATAAAACATCTGTTATAAAATCTGAATTCTGACTGTGTATCTGTGGCTGCTCAGTACAGGTCTAATTTCACTCTCATACCAATAATTGCTTTCACCCACTCATTCTGCAATGGCATTTTACCTTTTCTTTTTCCAGTTTTTCAGCCCTCTCTTTTTCTTCCTTCCTCTTCTTCTTCTCACTCTGACCATCTGTATGGAAAACAGGTGGTGGTGGTGGCGGCGGCGGCGGCGGTGGTGGGGGAGGAGAAGGAAGAGCAGGAATGGCAAATGGTGTGGTTGTTGGTGAGACTGGCAATGGGGCCATGACTTCTGCTACCACCAATGAAGATGAAAGTCCTGAACTCCTTTTAGATTTGGAATGTTTCCTATCTTTGTGCTTCTCCTTGTCTTTTTTCTTTTTACTCTTCTTGGATTTCTTTTTCTTCTTTATCTCCCGATATGAATCATCAATTATGAGCTCTCCAGCTTCCAGCTCTCCTCCAGAAGATGAACCTGATTCCAATTGTGGCTCCAGGCCTGACAGCTCAAACTCAGTGCTTTGTCCTTCTGAGAAAAGGGACGTGTCTGGGCTAAAGCTCTCAGGAGCTGGAGGTAGATGTGCTTCTGATGATGACTTGTGCTTCTTTCGAGATGATTTCAGGAAGCCATGAGAGTCATGACTTGAGTGAAGTGAACTGTGTTCATCCCGACTAGATTTTTTAGATGATTTTTTTATTGTTGGAGTATGCGGAAAGGACTCCTCTATCATGCCTCCTCCCTTTTCTTTAGGTGAAAGAATAAGCTTCATCTTTAAGCCATCAGGCTCACGCAAGGTCAACATTTCAGTATTCACAAAGGGGGGCTTCATTTTCTTGGACTTGTGAGAAGTGCTATCATCCAAAGACAGGTCACTGCTGCTCCCACTCAGCTTCTTCTTATGGTGCTCCTTCTTGCTCTCTGAATGGCCAGAAGTACTAAATGAAGAATGAGATTTCTCTGATGGCCTTTTAGAGGACTTGGAGCCAGTGGCAAGCGGAGAGGTGATGGTCTTATGGTGATCCATGGCAGTGTCAGTAGAGGGTGGACTCAATATTGATTTTCTCCTCTTTTTAGAAGTTGACTCCAAAGGCAAGGATTGCTCAAAAAAGGAAAGACCTGAAAGGACCCAGAAAGAAGGATCAAACAAGGCTGGATGCCTACCTAACATCAAACATATTTCCTCCTACACAGCTTAAAACATCTCATGAAACTGATAGGCTTCCAAATTGCTTGCTTTAGAGATTTGGTTAAATAGCTACTACACAGATATGTTAATGTATAATAACTGTACAGCCAATTTTGATTTTTCACACATTTAACGAGCACTGGCTGCATACTATTTTGCAAACCTGTTTATTCTTTTGTATATCTTTTACGTTTTATTGTCTGTTTTATTTCCTATATACACAATAAAACAATAAAAATAAATTAATAAAGTCTTATCCTGAAGCATATTATTTTTTTGCCAATTGCAACATTCAGACTTGCCCCAAACAGACAAGAGTCCCCCCCCCCCCCCCCCCAGACATTCCACAGATATATAAACCTCACGCCTTTCCAACAGACCCCTCAACCACTGATGATGCCTGTCAGGAGAGAATGCTTCTGGAACATGGCCATACAGCCCGGAAAATTCATAGCAACCCAATAAAAATGTCTGCTACAAAAAGCTACTCCATTTTAACACATTTACATACTGCCCCCATTAACTGAGAGCTTATCCCCCTTTAAAAGACATTTTTCTCATTTCCCACCTCACATATACATAATGAAACATTAAACAAACAAGCTGTTCAATAATATTAATTACCCCTTTCTTACTAAGAATAATTCCTTTATTGGGTTGTTGTCAGGTTTCCAGGCTATAAGGCCATGATCCAGAAGCATTCTCTCCTGACATTTCACCCACATCTATGGCAGGCATCCTCAGAGGTTGAGGGGTCTGTTGGAAACTCAGCAAGTGAGTTTTATATATCTATGGAATGTCCAGAGTGGGAGAAAGAACTCTTGTCTGCAAGCATTTTCAACAGGAAGGAAGAAATAATGAAAATGAACAAAATCTGCCTACAGGTATTAAAAACCTCTAAAATCATAACAGTAAATAAAGAACAATACTCAAAAACAGGGGAATTCCAGACAAGAAACAATCAGGGCCAGCTTTTCACCTACCAACAAAGGATTCCCCAAGGCAATAAGAAGCTAGGCCTTGAAACTGCTAGGCCATTAAATGCTAATTACTGTGGCCAATTGCTACATTCACATCTATCTCAAACAGACAAGAGTTCTTTCTCCCACCCTGAATATTCCACAAATATATAAACTCAATTTTCCTAGTTTCCAACAGACCTCGCAACCTCTGAGGATGCCTGTCATAGATATAATAATAATAAAGTTCCTGGGAAAAACTGAGAGCCAAATTGACAAAGAAAAAACGTGGATGTGGCTCACAAATGGAACTTTGAAAAAGGAGACGGAGGGTCTGATTCTGGCAGCCCAAGAACAATCCATTACAACAAATGCCACCAAAGCCAGAACTAAAAAATCGACGACAGATCCCAAATGTAGACTCTGCAAGGAAGCAGATGAAACAATAGATCCCATCCTCAGCTGCTGCAAGATTGCGCAGACAGCCTACAAGCAGAGGCATAACACCATTGCTCAAATGAATAATTGAAACTTGTGCCACAACTACCATGTGCCTGCGACAAAGAACTGGTGGGATCACAAGCTGAAAAGGTTACAGAAAATGAAGATATCAAACTACTCTGGGTCTTCCGAATTTAGACTGACAGAGTTTTGGAGCACAGTACTCCTAACCTCACGATTATGTTAAAAAACAAAGTATGGATCGTCGATGTTGCAATCCCAGGCGACAGCAGGATTGAAGAGAAACAACTGGAAAAGCTGACATGATATGAGGATTTAAAGATTGAACTGCAAAGACTCTGGCACAGGCCAGTAAAGGTGGTCCCAGTGGTTTAGAATTTATTTATTTAGAACTTTTATATACCGGTCTTCTCACCTCTGGAGAGGGACTCAGGCCGGTTTACAACAAGATTCATGAACAGTAGTTTAAAAACATCACACCACATAACACATAAAAATACATTAAAAAGAAGTCATGTTCTTACATAAGACCAAGTCGTCAAAGAGTTATCGGCACACTGGGTGCAGTGCCTAAAGATCTTGGCCTGCACTTAAACACAATCGGTGCCGACAAAATTACCATCTGCCAGCTGCAAAAGGTCACCTTACTGGGATTCGCACACATTATTCACTGATACATCCGACGTGTGATACAATATAACAGCCAGCAGGGTGATTTTGTCTGCTGTGGACTCATCTTGTTGTGTTTCAAATAATAATAATAATAACAACTTAATTTTTGTACTCTGCCTCCATCTCCCTGCGGAGACTCGGGGTGGCTTACATGGGGACAAGCCCAAGATTACACATAGTTAAAATAAATTATAACAAAAAAATTCATAAAAACATTTCAACAATATAAAACAACCACACAATACAATACATAGTGAACATTTAACAACCTTCAAAGGTCTGAGTAGTGCATGGATCCGAGTTTCAGTGGTGGCTGGTGTAAATCACTTGCCAAAGGATAGGGTTGATGGTTTAAGTGTTAATGGTAGATGACAAGATTAGGATCGGGGGTGGGGGGGGGGGGGGGTGTAGGTAATGTAAAGAAAGCACTATGTCTCTAAAAGAGCAAAGTGAAATGAACAAAATCTAATTATGGATCAAACTGGGAACCAGAATTTTTGGGGGAACTATATGACTGAAGGTACAGTGGAACATCCATTTCTTTAGTTCTTTAGATGCAGGTGAAATGTCAGGAGAGAATGCTTTTGGAACATGGCCTTGCCGCCCAGAAAACTCACAACAACCCAGTGATTCCGGCCATGAAAGCCTTCCACAATTGGGTTGTTGTAGGTTTTTCGGGCTATATGGCACCTCACAACCTCTGAGGATGCTTGCCATAGATGCAAGTGTTAATGGTAGATGACAAGATTAGGATCCGGGGGGGGGGGGGGGTGTAGGTAATGTAAAGAAAGCACTATGTCTCTAAAAGAGCAAAGTGAAATGAGCAAGATCTAATTATGGATCAAACTGGGAACCAGAATTTTTGGGGGAACTATATGACTGAAGGTACAGTGGAACATCCATTTCTTTAGTTCTTTAGATGCAGGTGAAATGTCAGGAGAGAATGCTTTTGGAACATGGCCTTGCCGCCCAGAAAACTCACAACAACCCAGTGATTCCGGCCATGAAAGCCTTCCACAATTGGGTTGTTGTAGGTTTTTCGGGCTATATGGCACTTCACAACCTCTGAGGATGCTTGCCATAGATGCAAGTGAAGCGTCAGGAGGGAATGCTTCTGGAACATGGCCTTGAAGCCCGGAAAACTCACAACAACCCAGTGATTCCGGCCATGAAATCCTTCCACAATTGGGTTGTTGTAGGTTTTTCAGGCTATATGGCACCTCACAACCTCTGAGGATGCTTGCCATAGATGCAAGCGAAACGTCAGGAGAGAATGCTTCTGGAACATGGCCTTGCAGCCCAGAAAACTCACAACAATCCAGTGATTCCAGCCATGAAAGCCTTCCACAATTGGGTTGTTGTAGGTTTTTTGGGCTATATGGCACTTCACAACCTCTGAGGATGCTTGCCATAGATGCAGGCGAAACATCAGGAGAGAATGCCTCTAGAATATGGCCATACAGCCTGAAAAACCTACAACAACCCAGTGATTCCGGCCATGAAAGCCTTCCACAATTGGGTTGTTGTAGGTTTTTGGGGCTATATGGCACCTCAAAACTTCTGAGGATGCTTGCCATAGATGCAGGCAAAACGTCAGGAGAGAATGCCTCTAGAACATGGCCATACAGTCTGAAAAACCTACAACAACCCAGTGATTCCGGCCATGAAAGCCTTCCACAATTGGGTTGTTGTAGGTTTTCTGGGCTATATGGCACCTCAAAACTTCTGAGGATGCTTGCCATAGATGCAGGCGAAACGTCAGGAGAGAATGCCTCTAGAATATGGCCATACAGCCTGAAAAACCTACAACTATGCAGTGATTCCAGCCATGAAAGCCTTCGACAACACACCTTCCACACTACAATCTTGCAGCAACTGCACTGGTTGCCGATTGAGTACCGGATTACCTTCAAAGTGCTGATTCTTACTTTTAAGGCCTTATATGGCCTGGGGACGGAGTACCCGAGGAACCGCCTCACGCCCTACCAACCCCCGAGATCACTCCGTTCAGACGATCAGAATTTCCTCAAAGTTCCCAATTTTTGGACCTTTTATCTGATGTCCACTAGGTGTAGAGCATTCACGGTGGTGGCTCCTTACCTGTGGAATGCCTTGCCAGCAGAAACACAAGGTATACGAGACTTACTATCTTTTCGTAGAGCTAGTAAAACTTATTTATTTAGGCTGGCATTTGAGTCTTGTTGACTGAAATTTTTCTTTGATTTTAAATGTAATGTATCACATATGTATATTGTAAACCGCTCTGAGCCTTCGAGGAGTGGTGGTATATAAAATTGATAAATAAATAAAATTTATCACCTGTCAGAATACTAGGTCTCCCAAGCCAGTGCACAAGAGACAAAAAACATTCTTCAAAAACGATTTAAAACGGTAAAAAAGCAAAAGTGAAACAGCATTTAATTCATTAAAATAATAATAAAAATACCAGCGAACCTTAACAGTCAGAGATCTTACCGTTTAGAAGCGAACTCTGCTGAGAAAGGGAACATTTCCCTTGAGAACAAAGAATGACCTTCCATCCTGTCAATATCTGGAAGCCAAGCAGCTACTCAAGAAGTTTGCTCTGCAGAACATTATTTGATTCGTATCCTGGGAGGGAAAGAACGCTGCTTTTTAAACACAAATAAGAAGAAGACTTGCGTGTTTCCAGAAAGCGGGAGACTTCAGACTTCAAACTGTAGAAACCGATGACGCAAAAACATCGCGACGGAGTCTCTCAAGATCCGCTGGGGAAAACGCACCAAACTCCTCTGAAGCAGGCCGCAGCTCTCGCGAGACGAGGAGGGTACATCTCGCGGGAGCCGAGAGGGAGGAAAAGAGGGTTCCAAACCTATCGCGAGATTTCAAATGAAGCCTAAAGCTTGCCATTTCCCTTCCACTCTTTTCAGTCGAACAGGAAGAGGGTGGAGAAGGATGGTGGCAGCTTTGGGTCGCTCTGTTGTGTTTCTAGATCCCATTCTGCCAGGAATATTGGGAAGCACTCAGTAAAGTGGGCGGAGAAGAGGCACATAATAATAACAATAAATGCATTAATCTCAATCTATATCTTCATAGAATCATAGAATCAAAGAGTTGGAAGAGACCTCATGGGCCATCCAGTCCAACCCCATTCTGCCAAGAAGCAGGAATACTGCATTCAAATCACCCCCGACAGATGACCATCCAGCCCCTGTTTAAAGGCTTCCAAAGAAGGAGCCTCCACCACACTGGGGCAGAGAGTTCCACTGCTGAACGGCTCTCACAGTCAGGAAGTTCTTCCTTGTGTTCAGATGGAATCTCCTCTCTTGTAGTTTGAAGCCATTGTTCCGCGTCCTAGTCCTCCAAGGAAGGAGTAAACAAGCTTGCTCCCTCCTCCCTGTGGCTTCCTCTCACATATTTATACATGGCTATCATGTATACATAAAATCTAGGTTATCTGCTTTGAACTGGATTATCTGGCAGTGTAGTTTCATATAATCCAGTTCAAATCAGATAATGTGGATTATCCACTTTGATAATCTGGATTATCTGGCAATGTAGAAGGGCTCTGAGTGACAACTGTCAGGAAGAGCACCTACTAAGGGCTCTTCTACTAAGGGCCCTTAGATGATGGCAGGGGTTCAACACAGAAAAATTTTCATCAACAATCCATATTGCACAGAGGGCAGTAAACAAAATAGTTATGAACATCTAGGACCTTAAGATCTTCTGGGGAGGTCCTGCTCTCAATCCCACCTTTTTCGCAGATGCGCTTGGCAGGGGCAACAGACAGGGCCTTATAAGTGGTGGCCCCTCAGCTGTGGAACGCCCTTCCCAGGAATATAAGATCGTCCCCCTCCCTTCTGACATTCCACAAAAGGTTAAGACCTGGCTCTTCGAGCAAGCTTTCACTAATGCAGCATAATTAGGTGAAAATGAAAATATGGAACGACTGACGATGCTATTGGACAACGATTTTAGTAAGGAGACACCAATGACTTTGTTTTTACAGGTTGTATTGTTTTTATACCACATTTTAAATGTTTTAATTGTTTTATAATTGTTTTTAACTGTATTTTTATAATTTCTATGGCATCGAATCACTGCTGACTGTGAACCGCCTTGAGTGGCTTCTGGGCTGAGAACGGCGGTATACAAATGCGCTAAATAAATAAATAAATAAATATGAATATATCCCAAAACATAAAAGTAAATTGTTGTATTTATCCACAAAAGGTGTGAATTTATTCCTTATTTTGTAGATATAACATAATAATAGACTTCTGCAATTCACTTTACATTGGGTTACCTCTGTAGTTTGTATCAAGTTAGGAAATGCCAGTTAGTTCAAGACATGCCAGCTAGATTGGTTACAGGAACGTCTAGGAGTGAACATATTACACTCATATTAGTTACCAATTAGTATCTGGGCAAAGTACAAAGTGTTGGTTTTGATCTTTAAATACCTACATGTTTGGAGTCAAGTTACCTACAGGACTATCTGCCCTTTAGGACACTTTGGTCCTTTGGGACACTTCCTCCAACCAGCTGGAACCTGACTGGCGACTGTCACCCAGAAGACCTTTTCATTGACCGCCCATAACTATGGATTTCCCCGTTGGCCCAGCCCTCTTATAGTTGTTCAGCAGGTCTTGGAAGTGAGTATCCCCAGGTCCTACCCTGACCATCAGTTAAGACCCTGTTCTGCACTTTACCCACTCCCTCGGCCCTATGCTACTTTGTTGCACTAGCCCAACCCTCCCATAGTTGTCTAGGCCTGAAATTCTGATCATTGGTAGTCGAATTTTGCCCGATGGAATAGTGCTGGAACTGGCTTTTAAATTTTAAATACGTATGACTATTCTAATAGTATTATGTTTATGTTTTATAATGGTTATTCTGTATGATTTTGTGTTGATATTGAAAGCTTTACTTATGCTAGAAACTGCCCTGAGTCCCTCCGGGAAGATACAGAGGTATACAAATAGAGTTTATTATTTAATAATATGGAATGAGCAGCTGGAAGAGATTTGTGGAGCTTCTGGGTTGCTAATGTTATATTAGTGATAAGCTTATAACTGAATATAGTTCTGTTGTACTTTTTCCATCAATGTAGTTATTGCCATAGTCTGCTAAAGTTCTACATTAATTTTAAAAGTCCGTGGATGCTTTTGATGTATTGTCCCTCCTGTTTTATTCAGTCAAAATAATGTGTTTTTTTTCCTTCCCAGAACAAATAAATAAGAAAATCAGAAACTTCCATCACTGAACTTATTTTTTTCTTTCTTTTAGTTTGCTTCACGGTTATTAATTTTCTGTTCCAACATTATTTCTGGTTGAAGACACATGAGGAAAAGATTGTGATGACTAGTAGAGTTGCAATTATCAATGCTCAAACAACCTCATGGATGGTGTTGGTAAAACTGGCAGAATTAACTGCTACTTACATGTTTTTATTTCAGAGATAAGGATAAATGAATTGAAGATGTTGTTGGTATGAAATCTAGCTATATTCATATTGAAAATTAGACATAAATTATACTCAGACTGGGGAGTATAGGAATAGATAGTCTTAGGAGAAGGTGGTGAAAAGAGGGAAAGCAGATTTCCCTCTTCCATAATTATTTTCCATGTCTTATTACTTGGGATAAGATAAGGCAACACCTGTTACTTACATTTCACAAGTTAAGTTTATTGTTTGTTCCTTTTTTTAAAAAAAAGAGGTATAGGGTTTGGAAGATATTTGTGGAGCCCCTGGGTTACTAATCTTACATTACTAACAAAATAACTGAATATAGTACTGTTGTATTTTTTCCATCCGTGTAATTAATGTCACAGTCCGCTAAAGTTCTATATTAATTTTAGAAGACTGGATGCTTTTGATGTATTGTGCCTTTCATTTTATTCAGTCAAAATAATGTGTTTTTTCCCCTCCCAGTACAAATAAATAAGAAAATTAGAAATGTCAGTCACTGAACCTATTTTTGTTTTTTTCTAGTTTGCTTCATGTTTTCTGTTCTAGTATTATTTCTGGTTGAAAAATCATGGAGAAAAGACTCTGAAGACTAGTAGAACTGCCATTATCAATGCTCAAAAACCCTCATTGATGGCTGTGATAAAAAATGAAAAATTAACAGACATGCTTTTATTCCAGAGATAGATAAATGAATGGAAGATGTTGTTTGTATGAAATCTAGCTATATTCATATTGAAAATTAGACATTAATTATACTCAGACTGGGGAGTGAATATAGGAACGGAAAGTCCTAGGAGAAAACAGTGAAAAGAGGGAAAGCAGAATTCCCCTTTCCATTATTTTCTATGCCTCATTGCTTGAGAAAAGGTAAAGCAACACCTATTATTTACATTTCACAAGTTTGGTTTATTGTTTGTTCCTTTAAAAGGTTTTTAAAATGTATTGTGTTTGTGCTACATTGTTAAGTGATGTCAGCTAACTACAAAATTTTGAGTTTGGAAGCCCAGAGCACCTAGCTACTCCAGAAGGTGAAATCAGGACATGGAAGGGTTAGAAGGCAAAAGCAGAGGTATTTATTTTTCCTGACCAGAAAGGATGTCAGCGTAATATGCACTCTCAAAGATTGGCAGACCACAGTAGAGAATACAGAGCATTTTAATTTCATTTTGACAGATATTCAGATCACCTGCCCCAGTAGCTGATTGGTTGAAACCCACACTGGATAGGATCCGTCCTTCAGTTGGTTGAGGACTCTGTGGAGCAGCTTCTCCAATTGGGTCTTGCTGTTGGTGGAAAATTCAATAAATCATCATTTGTGAATTCGAAGTGTCAGTCTGTTTAATGGCCTGCCCCTGAGAGGAGTATGAACGAAAGGAATGTGGTGTGGCAATATGCAAAATAATCTATGATGAGCTTGATGATTTAGTACAGGTGGTCACAATGGAGTGAGTGCAGGGCACACAATACATATTTGCAAGTTATAAGCAAGTCAGTGGGAGAAGCTAGCCCAAAGCCTGAGCAAATTCAATGACAAATTCAAAACAACTAATCTAGTACTATAAAGTTAAACAAGAGTATGCATTAAAATCACTTTGTAAAACAATTTATTTAATTTTTAAATCAAAATTGAAAAAGAGATGGATGTGGTTGGTACAGGGATATTTGTTTTTGAATATCAAGCTGGAAGACATTCAGACCCCTTCCATACAGCTGTATAAAATCCACATTGTACTAGATTATATGGCAGTGTGGATTCAGATAACCCAGTTCAAAACGGATATTGTGGACTACCTGCCTTGATATTCTGGGTTATATGACTGTGTGGAAGGGCCCTAAGAAGAAGTATTAAATCCCCGAGTTCTATAATTTTCAGTCTAGTTCTTTGCTTTTAGAAAGGCTGTGTGGCTGCACTGAATGAAATGTTGCTGTACTGAATATGATGTTGGTAAGAAAATAAAGTACATTTTGAATAGAGAGCATACTTTGCATGCAGAAGATCACAAGCAAGCCTTATGAGTAAGTGACAGCAAGCCTCATGAAGGTATTGAAAATCTACATGATGATTTTCAGAAAGAGAAAAAAAATAAAAAAAATAAAAAGAGAGTTGAG